TCTTCATCAAACACCTTCACTCGAAATGGAAGTAAGCCTCACAATTATGAAATTGGAATTCCTCCAAACCAAACTTTCATTCGCATACTGTTTTTATGTCTGATTTAGCCTTTTTCGAATGGCTAATTTTCTTATATTACCTGTATGAGCACAGTTTTTTGAAAATATTGGTTGAGTTTTAATTTTTTTTCCTGAGTTTTATTTCACACTTCACACACTATCATCAGAAATCACATCATTCTTAACCTAATTCTTATGCACATACCTCTTACTTGCTTGCCTTCGTTTTGTTCCTTACATCCCCTATTCATCACTTATGCACGTGCATCTACTTTACCTACAGGATTCTAGCTGCTTTCCTGGCTGATCTTCATAGGGTATTCTCAGAGCTTCACTTCACTTACCTTGAGTTGAACCCTGTCGTCCTTTGCCCCTATCCAGACTCTGGTTCCAAGAGCCAGATTCGTCTCCATTTGTTAGATGCAGCCGCCAAGCTGGACCAATGTGCCGAGTATCTAATGGCTGCTGGTCGGTCGGCATCTGGTCGCTGGAGCCTGGACGGACTTCCTTTAGATTTTCCTGCCAGCTTCGGGTGTGCTCAGTCTGAAGAGGTATGGGAATAAAATCGGAAGTTTATATCGCTTCGAGTTCCCTTTCAATGATTACTATCGTTTAAAATATATTGTTCGTATTTAAGTAGATTTTCAAGACTACCAGTTTTGGTTTTCACAACGTTTTTTCTCACAGCTGTACGATTGAGGCCTGAATAAAGGATCCAAAATGCTTGGCCCAGTTGCTAACCTCAAAATACGCAATTAAGTCCATGGAGCGTTGTAAGCCATCAGCAATCTGATACTAGTGAAAAGTATTGAATGGGCCTACGTGTCATTTCTTAAATTGAGTTAGTCTACTATTGCTCAGTCAAGCATCTTATCTGACCAAATCCAGATGACGCTACAATGCAATTACCTTAGGGCTATAAAACTTTGACGATTGTCTGGTCTAATATTCTCTTTTACTCTTTTTAGAGCACTTGAATTTACGTTAGTCCAGATAGTATCTCATCATGCTCGTTAACAAATTATTTTGGGACCCGCAAGGAGAAGCTTCCATATACGTATTATCATACAATGCAAAGCTCGGGCAATTACAGCTCAATTTTCACGGTTAGGCTGCCAGATTTCGGTTAAAGTCAGAAAATCAATGAGATAAGTTGTAGCTTGATGCTAAGACTGCTAAGGTTCATTGCCGATGCCGACTACACTTAGAATGTACCAAGTCTACAATCTGATGCTAGAAATTATCATGACTACCATGGTAGTCATGGGAGTTTGAGTTCTCCATGAAAACATCACTATTTTGTGAAAGCAAAGTCAAACCATTTATATACAGTTAAAGGAAACTGTAACCAAAATAATCTACATCATCTTGGCTCATATCTTCAATTAAAATTTGTTCATTACTTGATCAAGATTGATTACGATTACAATTTTATTCATTATAATCTTTATTGGAACTCGACCCACGATCTCTTAGCCAGAGACCCACAGTGCATTATTTGTTACGCCGCTATGGAATGGCACCAAGAGTTTGCTTTAGTTCACTAACTTCTTGTTTTATTTTACAGAGTACTTAGAGATATTGTAAACGGCAAGTGATGATGCTTTTTGTTCATTGTTCACAAACTTATCAATATTTCGTATTCCTTGTCTCTCATTGATTCTTAGGAGGCTTTTGTTGCTCAGATGGATTCTCATACAGGTGCATCAATGAAATTGACTCTTTTGAACCCAGAGGGGCGTATTTGGACGATGAATGCCGGTGGCGGTGCCTCTGTGATCTATGCCGACACAGTGGTAGCCCTTGCACCTGGGGGGACTGATGAGCTGGCAAACTACGGGGAGTATTCGGGTTCACCATCGGAGGAGCAAACATATGCCTATGCTAAAACAATCCTTAGCCTGATGACACGAGGAAGCCCGCATCCAAAAGGTAATCAATTTCGAGCTAGGCTAATAGAGGAGATGTGGATAGGGACATGTGAACCTTTAAAATCATTGGCTTTCAAAAAATCCCCTATGATTTCATATATGCAAAGAGTTGGGCGAAGAACATATGCTATTATATACAAAGCATCTCCCTAGATAAGATTGTATTGAAAACTTTCATTTTGTACGGAAGTACACGAGGAAAGGATTCGTAGGTCAATCTCATCAGAAGAGGTCGGCTGATTCGCGTTGTACTGCAGCTGATTGGCCTTAATACAATGATTAGGTTTATGAAATCCATGAGACATCCTCCAACGGTTCGGGCGAAAACGAATCGAGTTTTCATTATATGTATATATGTATAACAATTCAATCGGCCTCTATACTCCTGTATCCAATTTTCATTGTTGAATCTTATTAGACTTTTGTTGTCATCTACATTCTGATTCTTATCTGTTTGATAGGCAAAATCCTGCTAATCGGCGGAGGAGTGGCCAACTTTACGAACGTTGCAGTTACTTTCAAGGGCATCAAGCGTGCTTTAGTTGAGTTCAGCACCCAACTTATCATGCACCAGGTTCGTATATTTATCCGGCGTGGTGGGCCAAATTATGAGGAGGGCTTGCGCACTATGCTAGAGCTGGGTGAGTTTCCATAAAAGCGTTGACTTTGTTGGGCCCTAATACTCAGCGAAAAGTCCTATTCGTTTCTTATTAATGATCTATATTGGGGCTTATTCTTTACCTAATGAGGTCCGATTTGTTAGACTGTATGCTTTTATGAGGCTAAATTCGAATATTAATTAGATTTTTGTCATTTTCAAATACCGTTATTGGGCTGACTTTCGTTTTTTGCCTATTCATTATGAGCAGTTTCATAGGTAAATCTCGTGAAAGGAAGAAGGTTGAGTCTTATTTGGGTGGCTCAATTTTACTTTGATTTTTTCAAGAGACGGACATTCAGTTTATTTCCAAAATAAACGAAGAAGTGCTTCCCGAGGACCGAAACAGTTTGAACTCCGCAGTAGAATCAAACTACAACGAAGTGATGGGAGCACTATCTCTTCTAATGAATTCAATTTCGTCAAAATTTTCGTGCGACAGGAAAGTCAGCTAAACAATTTTCTGTGATTAGTCTGATGCGTTTTGTGACCAAGATGGTGTGGCCTTTTGTGTGGTCGAAATCTCCTTTCGTTGTATAAAGGTTCTCTGATCTTGTTTTCGCAACATGTTCATATTGGTAGAAGGACTTAGAGAAACGCACCTACTCCTGGGTCCATTGTCTGCATGATCATTTCCAAAGTTGAACCATGGACGTGGTACATTCCCAAACTTTTCGCCGGCATCGTCAGTGAGTCTCGCCATTCTTAGCACCCCACTAAAACTTGTCTCTGACTAAATCTATGACTTGCCATGCCCTAGTCGCCTGTGTGCCAACCCACAAACGTTGTGGTTTAATATTGAACCTAACCAAGGCCAGCAGTAACACAATATTTGTGGGTTGACACACTAGCGACTAGGACATGGCAAGTCAAAGACTTGGTATTAGGAATAGAGACAGGATAGACGAGGCGGTGATTGGATTTAGTTGGCTGACAGTAGGTTTTACAAGAGACGTGGTCCATGTAGCT